ACCTTGCCGAACCCGTAGCACGTGATGATATACCTCGTCCGCCTGTTATTCCGGAAGCAGTAAAAGGTCGACCATCATTCGACGTGAAGGATCCAAAGAGACGTAAATTAGAAAGAGACTTGGAAGCTGAAGGAGGCGGTCCCGGCGTTTATAGTATCGACCTCAAGAGTAATTATCTATTTGACTACGATCATTATTCATGTCTATTGTCACTTGTGTCTTAATTTTTTTTTAAACATCGATAGAGAAATACATGTTAAAGAATTCTGATTGGAAATATGACGTAATCCCCGAAATTATGGACGGCAAAAACGTAGCTGACTTCATTGACCAGGACATTGGAGAAAAATTAGACGCTCTTGAACGAGAGGAAGAACGCCTGATGAACGAAGGTTATTACGATTCTGAAGAAGAAATGGTATGGGATCTGTCTATCATCAGCTTGCACATAATAAATCGGTTATTCAGTGGTATCTTATGTTACGATAGGTGGATTCCGAAGAAGAAAGAATAAAGAAAGTCGCCGAGGCCATTAAGGAAAAGAAGAAATTGATTGTACAAGCCCATAGAGCTAGTAAAATGATGAAAAATCGACCTAGAATGCCAAGAACTGTAATATCCAAGGTACTATAAATATTTTTATTGGTCGATACCGACAATTCTTTTTAAATGTTAATGTCATATTTCTGTTAAGTCTATTGATGAGATGGAAGAGAAATTAGGCCAATTGGGTCTGGATGCGAGTGCGGTCCGCGCACGTAGCCAAACCAGAAAACGCAAACGTTCAGAGTCCGTTGGTGACGAAATCGTTCGGAAATCATCAAGCGTCCCAAGAGCCAGTGAGGCACGTGATCGTAGCGTCTCCGGAATGCGAGATATCAAGGTAATTATCATTGAAACCTACGGTTTCTTACTGCATGCCTTGTTTAACAATTTTTTATCTACTTGCAACAGCAAAAGAATGAAAGTGAAAAACAAAAGAAGATTGCACAACGGAAGCCAAATCTGTTTGCCAAGGCCAGTGAGTCAGATAGAAAGATTCAATCAAAGAAACCAAAACATTTATATAGTTCTAAAAGCAGCATTGGAAAAAGAGATTGGCGCTAACTTGCGATATCATTCCCGAGTGTTCCCTTACTCTTACGCGATCATTTCGAATTTTATAAAATACAAACCATACAAATTCTTTGTATGCTATTTAATCTTATTTCAATGACCTTATTTGGATCCATTATAAAGTTTCGTTGATGGTCGACCTTTTACTGCTTCCGGAATAACAGGCGGACGAGGTATATCATCACGTGCTACGGGTTCGGCAAGGT